TTGGATATAGTTACCTAGAATGCCATAGATTTAAAACAACTAAACAGAAGAAGATTGTTAGAAAAAATAGATTGGAAGAAGAGCTGTCTTTAACTGAGGGCGGAAAGGCAATGTCATAAATGAGAGAATTTATCTTTAAAAATAAGAGTAAATGTTTATTACATACATGAATTCATTATAATAGAGGATTGTCCTAGTAAAAATATTTCTAAGGTTTTTATATGTCTGCCTCAAGTAAGAATCTCACTAAAGTAAATATTTTCCTTGCATTTTTTGCCTCTCCAAGAGTCATGTTCTACCTGTACGCTATTTTCAAAGCTCTGATCCCTTGCTCTACTCACTGCAGAATTTAACTATGGTAAGAGAAAAGCAGGACATTTCAGCTTTTTAATTTTCCTGGGATGATCTCCAACTGAACACAATTACTTATTTTTCTGACCTTTTCTTAACTAAAACATTCCAACCACTTCCTTTGGAAACACCTAAACTTCAAACATATCATCAAAACTAAAAAATAAGTCCACGAAACATCCAGGAACTTGGAATATGAAAGACAATTTGTTTCCTATTATCTTGAAAGTGCTTCTTTGTGCTAGATGAGTTAGAGAGGTTTACTCTTTTTTTCATTCCTCTTTTCTCATCGCTGGGAATGTGATTTTGATCATGTATTAAAATGAAAAAGTTCACCTGCCATTTGGAATTCATTATAATAAAATTCATAATAAAACAAAGATGGGAGTGGCCTGCCCAAATCCATCCGGGTTTTACCATTTTACCACTGAAAATCTCACATCCTGTGAAATCTTTTCCTGTGATGCAAAAAAATCATGGCAACCATGATTTGCAAATCACAGAAATAATGGATCATTCATTATCACATTACGCTGAATGATGCAACTCAAATATGTTGTAATCAAAGCATTAACAGTCATCTTTGTCCATTGGAAGTTCAGATAATGAGAATGAGAATAGTTATGATACCAATACCAGAATGCTCCATCGTTACCAGTAAAGAAGGGTATAGTTATTATATATGGAAATATGTATAATATATATTATTACATATATTAGTATATAATGATATGTTATTATAGATGGGTAGAAAGACACATGCATTAGGGAATTAGATAACCAAAACAGACCATACTGCACAATATGCAGAAAAGAATTTGGGATTGGACATTGTTATGGATTGAATTATATCCCGCCCCCAAATTGATTTGTTGAGGTTCTAAGTCTTACTACCTCTGACTGTGACTTTATTTGGAAATAGAGTAAATACAGATGTAATTAGTAGTGAAAATGAGGTCATAGTTGAGTAGGATGGGTCCTTAATCCAATATGACTGGAATCCTTATAAAAAGGGGAAATTTGGACACAGATATGTGCACAGGGAAAATGTCACGTGAAGATTGGAGTTGGGCTGCCAGAAGCCAAGGAACTGCAAGAAGCTAGGAGAGAGGCCTGGAGCAGGTCCTTCCCTAGAACCTTCAGAAGGAGCATGGGCCTGCCAAAACCTTGATCTCGGACTTCTAGCCTCCAGAACTGTAAGATAGTAACTTTCTGTTGTTTAAGCCACCCAGCCTGTGGTACTTTGTTATGGCAGCTCTAGCAAACTAATATGGGCCTAGTAGAGATGGGGATGTAAAAGACTGCAGAGACTGAGTCTCACAAGTCTGGAATGAGACAGGCAGGTGCATCTAAATCCATCTGTACTTTTTCATCTTCCAAAAAGACATTGTCGCTCAGTTGAAAATAGTAGGCACTGAATTAACATAGACCTATAACATGGATATACACATTTTATTTTTTCCCTTGATCATTCTATGAAACTGACGAAAGTTACATTTCCTGATTCAGAGGTTGCAACTAAAACATCCTGTTGGTGAAAAAAGGGTAAATTTTGATAACAGGTGTGTTGGCTTCTTATACATGGAGGGCTGATTCTGTTGGATCTTACCAACAATCATACTTTCTTCACTCTATCAAGTGTTGCATGGAATCACAGCAACACAAAGATGTTTCCCTAGCTCTTAGGTACTTTGCTTTGAAAAATGGAGTTGCAAGTTGAATTTTTGATTCCTGTAAAGATTATAAAGAAACCACATAAAACAAAAATTGTTGATGTATTGTTCATATATGAATTAGATTTTGCTCAGTCTGTCTGCATATTTGGCAGACAGTGCAAATGTAAACTTGGCAAGTTCTATTCAGTCTGTAAACTTCTTACCAAAGAAAATGAAAAGATACTACCTGGGAAACGTCTTCCACACCTTGCATAGTACAGTGCTAAAAAGGGATGTGATTTGCTTACCTCTGATGTTGAGGCTTTCGTAATGAAAGTTCTTTCTCACCTTTAGCTTCCTCAAAACCTGCAAGACCAGTGAGAGTTTTGACTTTATGGAAATGGAAGGAGATGACCTCCATAGACATGTGCCTACAACATAGCTACGATTGTTGCTAGCAGAGGATAGCCAGCTGCAAAATCACATGTTTAGAGTGTGAGGCAAGGAGAGTGTCCTTCTGTAATTTGGAAATAATTGAGGATGAGAAGGCAAAAAAGTTATTACATTAAATAAATGGATATTTATGTACCGTTTCTTTAGTGTCTGGTGAGTGCTAAGGAACCTGGAAAAGCAGCCAGAAAAGGATGAACAATCCGAACCTTAGTTGCTTAATGTGGTGTACAGGTTGTGACGAACACTCATACAATGGAATAATGACTCATTTTGGGGAAATAAGACTGCTTCTGAACTCAGAAATGTTACCAGAAAACAGTAGCTACATTGAACAGGATTTTCTTTACTAGAACTGTTAACTCCATCCAGTATGCTTTGGAGTGTTGAAAAAGGATGGATATTTTACAAATGGGTAGTCTATATGATGAATTTATACATGCAAAGGACCTTGGAGACAAATAGCTGGTCTAGCAGAACAAGCCTGTAGGTTCAAAGTGGGTGGACCTTTTCAAGAGAGCTGGGAACTTAATTCTTGTAACTCTAAAAAGCCTGCTGTTGCTAGTAAGTAAAATCTTAAGTATTTTAAGCTCACACCTTTCTTAAAATATTTAGGTTGAGGTCATCCTGTTGGACTGATACCGGTAATATGGACTTCTAAGAGCAGAGCTTTAAGTCAGTGAATTTTATGTTGGACTGTAGTTCATTCCTGGAAAAAAAAAAAAGGCAAAAACATAATATATACCTCACCTAAAGGCTACAGGCAGTTCAGAGAAGTAGTATTGGAAGAGTAAAAATATGCTACTGTATCATGGATAAGAAGATGTTACTATTTTTTATTAAATATGGATAACAACTGTTTAGTCCCATTGTATTTACATTCCCCTTTTACAAAGGCTCAGATGTATGTTTCTTAAAATATACAATAATATAGCCTACTAAATTTAAATATCCAGAAAAATAGTTAAATAAAAGGGCAGAAAAGGACATAAAAATATTGGGGCACCTGGGTGGCTCAGTTGGTTAAGCATCAGACTCTTGATCTCGGCTCAGGTCATGATCTCAGGTTGTTGAGATTGTGATTCGCTTGGCTCTGCATTGGGTGTGGAGCCTGCTTAAGATTCTCTCTCTCCCTCTGCTCCTCCCCTTCCAACTTTCCCTTTGCCCCCTCTCTAAATAAATAAATAAATAAATAAATAAATAAATAAATAAATAAATAAGTTTTCACACATTTTATTTGTTAAATTGTCCTATTCTTAATTACTACTAATTACCACTATTAACTAATCTTACTGTTTGTTTAAATACAAGCTCTTATTGTAACAAAAGTAAATAGTACAGAACAATATATAATTTCAGATAAACATCGATTCTTCATAGTTCTCTGTTAAAGTAATAACACATGTGAGTAATTATTTCTCATATGTTGTCACGTGTTTTTGGAGTGATGTGGCTGTGTCTTGGCTGACTTTAAAGTTGATCATCCCCTGTGCACAATACTCACCTTACCCATTGTCTTTGCCCTTTGTCCCTCTTCCTTCCGTTCCTCCTCAATCACACATTTCAGTTTCACTAAGGCCAGTGAGTTTGAGATTATAAAAAGTTCTAGATTAGTCTTGGAAAAGCTAATTTGTGTAACCAGCTCTGAATTTTTAATCCCTAAAATAATTTCCATGGAGAAGAACTGAAAATCTTCAAATAAAAAGTTCATTTTTTTTTATTGCTTTATATTATTCCCATTTGGAAGGCAGCATGGTATAGCTTGTAGGAATAGGGTTTCTGAAGTTCCATGTATAATGTTTTGGGGGCAGGTAGGACTATTTCTTTTTAAATTACACAATATTTTTGGAATGTATACTTTTGTTCTTCTTTCTAATGTATACTTCTTTGTTCTTCAGAGTTTATTAACTCTGCTCTACTTTTCCTATTATTAAATTCATACAATGTACTAGGCATTATGTTTCTAAATTCAGAGAGGTCCTGAGAGTGTGTGTTTTAGCTGTAGGATCTTCTGATTGACAAATATATTTTTCAGGTCAAATGTGATACATAAGTTTTAGCATATGTTGTTACGTTTGGCAAATACGCATCTGCTCACAGGCTTACATATTGTTATTTAAGATGTTAAGTACACTTTTGAGATTTTTATTAATGGACATAAAAATGAGTTTCTATTAGGTATTTAATTGCTATAAAATTCCTCAACTTCTGAAATTCACACTACTTTGATAATTATTTCTACAGTAATTTGAGAATGCTGTTACCAATGGCTGTTTGCCGAATTCATTAGTTCAACATGGGACAACTGCTTAAAATCTGTTTTTATAGGTGAACATAAGTGTACAATATGCTGTCTTTTAAAAATATTGTAAAATTCTAGTGACATTTCTAAATTCTCATAAAAAAGAAAATCAGATAGGAGACTTGGTCTGTTTTGATATCAATTGTTATTTTATGCTGAGAAGTTATTGAATGTTCCTTTAATATTTGGAAATGTTGATAAGCATGTCCTCCCTGACATTGTGTTTTATGTTTATCATCCAGGGGGATGGAGTCCTGGCATACATTGGGAATTTTCGCCTGCTTGCAGAACTTTCCAGCCCTTTTGTGAATCAGCGGTAGGTGACTAATCTCATTATTTTAAACTTGTGTTGTTTCCTTTTAGTTTGGGGAGATTTTTCCCAAGATCCTAAATCTACTAAATAAAAATGAGAATATGTGGTATGAATTATTATCCGTGCAAATGAGGAAACCAAGCCTTGGAAAGGTGAGAGAAACTTATCCAGGGATCCCCTAGAGAAAGTGGTGGTCCTAGCTTTTGAACAGAGCTCTCTTTGAAGGATGGCAATGCTTTATTATACTTGGGTTCATCTTGGGTCCAGTTCACATTCTTTTTCTTTTTTTTTTAAAGATTTTTTATTTATTTATTTGACAGAGAGAGAGAAAGAGAGAGAGAGAACAAGCAGGTGGAGGGGCAGAGGGAGAGGGAGAAGCAGGCTCCCCGCTGAGCAGGGAGCCCGATGCGGGGCTCGATCCCAGGACCCTGGGATCATGACCTGAGCCGAAGGCAGACGCTTAACGACTGAGCCACCCAGGCGCCCCTCCAGTTCACATTCTTGACACCAGCTTATTCCTCTTCCCAAAATCTGATAGTGACATTACCTTCATCCCTCATTTAAAAAAAATTGTCTTCTAATTTTAGATTTACAGAAAAGTTGCCAAGATAGCATAGGAACGCCCATATCCTCCTCCACCTGGTTTTCCCTATTGCTGATAACATGGACCATTTGTTGAAACTTAAGAAACCAGCATTTATACATCACTGTTAAGTGAACTCCAGGCTTTGTGGAATTGCATCAGTTTTTCCCTTAGTGTTTTCTTTTTGTTCTAGGACTCAGTCCAGATTGCGACATTGCTTTAGTTTCGTGTCTTCCCAGTCTCCTGTGGTCTGTAACAGTTTCTGAGTCTTTCCCTGTTTTTCCTGACTTTGACAGTGTTAAGAAGTACTGTCCAGTTATTCTGTAAACTGTCCCCCAGTCTGGATTTGTCTGTTTTTCTTAAGACTAGGTGGAGGTGATGGGGTTTTGGAAGGAATCCCATGGAGGCAAAGTGCCCTTCTCATCACATCATGTTAGGAGGTACATGATGTCCACATCACTGGGGATGTGAACTTGGCATCACACGGTTAAGGTGGTGTTTGCCAGGTTTCTCCACTGTGAAGTTTTTTCTTTTCCTTACTCTATTCTTTAAAAGCAAGTTACGAAGGATAGCCCACCCTCAAGGGGGTGAGGGAGAAAGGAAATTAAGCTCCACCTTATGGAGGGAGGTAGATGCTCATATTTGCCAGTGGATTTACTATGGTGCTGTATGACCCTTAGACCTTGTCATTTAATGAGGTCTGCTGATATCTTTTGGATATCTTTCCTGTGTAAAGTTAGCTGTTCCTTTCACTCCATATCCATGGTCCTAGGTGAGGGCCTTCAGGATCTCCACAGTTCAGTCCACTGCCATAGCCTTCTGACTGACTTCCCTCCTTCCAGATTCACCCTCTCTTCAGTCCTTTCTTCACAGTGCTGCCAAAGAAATCCTCCCTGTGATCCACTTTCTGGACCTTATTTATTTTCTTCCAGAAACTGCATCCTGTTTAGACTCTTCTCTAACTTTGAGGTTCACTATAATGTGCTCCATATGTTCCCAGCTTTACTTCTTACTGTTCATTAGAGTCACTTTTGAACCCTTACTGTCTCATGCACCTGTGAGTGGTTCTTGAGTTTCTTCCCTTATTCACATCCTTAATTTCCCTTCCATCTTTGAAAAATTTGCCTATCTTTAAAATCTTCGGTCAAAGTCCCAAAGCCAGGGGAGGCTCCCATGATTGCATGTAGCCCTTTTGTGACTTAGTACAGAGATAACCCAGAGAATTGGGACTGTCAAATCAGACTTGCGTGGGTTAGAGAGTGTACCCTATATTAAGCCAAGGATCCAGGTAATCACGAGGCACTGGCAAAGCAGGGAGATTTTCAGGACCATCAGAATGGTTCCCTGGGTCCTTTTTGCATTGGGCAGACTCTGGAATAAGGTTATCTATGAGGGCTAAAGCAGTATGAGTAGTTCATATTACAGATATAGAAGGAGCTCTCTTGATTATGGAACGTCTCCATTTGATACTCAGATAGTTACATAGCTTATGTAACATTCCCCACGGGGTCAGACCCCATAAATCCATACATTCTAGGTTTGTTTGTCATAAGCAGTCCTAGACTAGGTATATCCTAAAAGCATTCCATGGATGAGACTCTCCTGCAACAAATACCATTAGTCTGTTTATCAGGACATCTGTCATTAGTATGTTCACCAAGCAATTAGCCTGATCTTTAAAAAAAAAAAAAAGTATTTATTTATTTGAGAGAAAGAGAGTGAAAGAGAGAGAGAGCACGAAGTGGGCAGAGGGTCAGAGGGAGAAGCAGATTCCCTGCTGAGCAAGGAGCCCGCCGCGGGGCTCAATCCCAGGACCCCGGGATCATGACCTGAGCCAAAGGCAGACACTTAACCGACTGAGCCACCCAGGTGCCCCTAACCTGATTTTTTTTTTTTTTTGCCAAAGGTGGTGGGGGCAGGGGAAGAGTGGTCCTTCCACCCCCAAAACAGGAGAGAATAGATTACAGATCTGCTGCTGAAGCTTTTCTTTCCCAAGTTTTGCTTATTCACTCTTATTTTGTTTGCCCATATTTCAGGTGGTATAATCTTATTTCTTCAAGAAGATAATCGGTTTCTTGGGCTTGACCATTTAAATTTTTAAAATAATAATTCTGCAATCCTCAAAGACTGATAATGTGAAAGTACAGAGCAAAGAGCATGTACTTTGAAGTCAAACGACCTGCATTCAAATCCAAGCTCTCCCACTTAGCCTTGTATATGAGTGGAAGATTATTTAATGTCTCTGAGCCTGGTTTCTTAGCTATAAAACAGGGATGATTATGATAATGATGCTTCACCGTTTGTTGTGAATATTCAATGAGATTACGTATATAAAGCACCTGGCATGGTGCTTGCCATTTGGTATATGTTCAGGAAGTGCTAAATGTCGTACATATTCAATACACAAAAACCCGGTGAACACTGGAAGCGCATAGTTTATACTTGCTTTCTCTACTTTATTGTATCTTTTTTTGCTCTTTAACTCCCTAAAATTAGGCTTCCTCTTCTGTTGCTGGAACTGTTTCATTAGAATCACCAGTGACTTCCAGATGCAAAATCCAGCAAACTCCCTTTGGTGCCTATCGCATTGTGTCTCTCTGTGGACTCGATGCTGTTGGTCACCTCCTTATATGGCCCAGCTCCCTTTGCCTTCATTTCACTGCACTCATCCAGTCCTTGTATGTCTCTGACCATACTTTCTTAGCCTCCTTGGTAAGACATGGTTCCATAAATGCTGGTGTTCCCTGAGGCTCTCTTCTGGGCCCACTGATCTCCATGCTTCTCCCTGGGGTGAGTTCTCCTTTCAAGGTCAGCTACTACCTACTTGCTCATTTTTGTGTAATGGACTATGCATGAATTTTAAAACCAGATAAACTCAAGTTGTAATTCAGCCTTGCCACTTAACTTGCCCTGACCTGAGCTGTTATTTAACATCCCTGTACTACAGTTGCTTTGTCTTTAAAAAGAGCATATTTAATACTACCTACTTCTTTGTATGATAGTCAAGTGTTTTCTCCTCCCAGGTGGCACAACAAATTCAACATGTCTAAAATAGAATGCAGCATATTTCCCTCTGTAGTCTTTTGTATTCTCTTGTTCAGCATGTGGCCCAGCCATTCTCTCGGTCACTCCTGCTCCACATGTGGGAATCGTCCTTGACTGTTCCTCCCTCACCTACATTTGGTCCATCATTAGGTCCTACCAGATAACCTCCTAAATATTTCTTGCCTTGGCCACTGACTCTCCACCTCTACTATCAGTGCCCATCATCTCTTGTCTAGGCTCCTGTACCAGCTTCTAACCCTGTCCTGCCCAATAGGGTAACCAAAAGCCACATGTAATTATTTACACTTAAATTAGATTAAATTAAATTAAAAATTCAGTTCCTCAGTCTAACTTGTAACATTTCAAGTGCTGGATAGCCCCACGTGGCTGGAGTCTACTGAATTGGGTAGCACATCTGTAGAACATTTTCATTATTGTGGGAAGTTTTTTTGGACAGTGCTGTTCTAGACTGGGGGTTGGCAAACTAAGGCTCAAGGGCCAAACCCACTGCTGTTTTTTGTAAATAAAGTTTTATTGGGGCACAGCTATGCACCTTTGTTCACATGACTGCTGTTACACTACAACAGCAGAGTCCATTTGTTGGGACAGAGACTGTACGGTTTCCAAAGCCTATTACCTTATGTCCACTCTCTGGCTCTTTGTGGAAGAAGTTTGCTGATTCCTGCTCTAGATAGACTGTCTACCTGTCTCCAATCCTGTTCCCCTTTTATTTCGCTTCTGTATTATTCTCTTCTATGATGATCTCTCTAAAACACAACAATGAACATGCAGCCCCCCTGGTTGAATCCCCTCAGTGACTCTGGCTGCTTACAGGATAAAACATGGACTCTTTAATGGGATACAGAACTTTTTCTGTTACATCTGTTATTCTTTCTGCCACATTTTCCCCCCTCAAAAATCTCCTCTCATTCCAGCTTGTCCATGTGCTGGAAAGGTCTCCTGGCTCCTTACTCCTCCTTCAGGACTCAGCCTCAGGATTATTTCCATCACTAAACCCCACCTCTCTCAGGTCCGGTTGGGTGTCCCTCACCTGTGCTTCCATAATAGTGACGCAGAGTTACACCATTATGATTAGTGTATTTTATGATAATATTCTCTCTCTCTCTCATTTTCTGTTTCTCACTCATCTCTGTGTTTCATTAGATCAGGGGCAAAATTTTGTTAAACTTTGCATGGTCCAGCACTCACTGTCTGGCACATAGTACCCATTTAATTACTTTTTGAAAAAATGACCCCCAAGAGGTGATCAGTTAAGCTCTAGCAATGTCCATCTCTTAAATATGATTCAAAATATGAGATTTTGAAGCAGGAGAAAATTAGGCCTGATGCTTAAAGGAACTTCAGTTTCTTTTTG